AAGAGCGAAACTCCGTCTCAAAAAAAAAAAAAAAGAATTGTTTAGCATTCACTTTTATTATATTTTATGAAAGTTAAGGATTCTGAAGAGCAAGAAATTATTGTTAAGGTTATCAAGTTAAGAGATAATAATACAAATGTAACTCTGAAATTGCATCTAAAATTTTCACAATAAACCTAAACTGAAACTAGGTTAAATCTCCACAGTAAAACTTATATGTCTACTTCTAGTGTGAAAAGAGACAAAAACAGAGACTTTTCTTAAGTTCTTAGAGTTACCTAAGCTAATCTACACCTTCCAGAAAACAGGATGTTTATCATTTTTACAGTCAGCCAGTCATCTGCCTGCTGAGCCACATTTTTCACCCCTTATTAGGTTGTCTTTTGGGGTGATTTTTGAGGCCTTCTCTTTTTGTTACAAGAAGATTTGACACTTAGATTTAGTACCTAAAATTTTATAAAGTTTCTGTTATTCAAGTTCAGGCAAAATAGGATGTTGACTATGTATTTAAACTGAGTAAAGTATGAGAAATATTATGAAATGCCAAGAGAATTATAAATAAAGTAGCTATAAACATTATTTTATTTTAAATATTTTACCAATTTACTTTCAGATTTTTGATGCTTTTAAATCTCGACTTCATGATTCTAATAGTAAAGTAAATCTGGTGGCTCTGGAAACAATGCACAAAATGATTCCTTTACTTAGAGACCACTTATCTCCTATAATCAACATGCTAATTCCGGCAATAGTGGATAACAATCTGAATTCCAAGAATCCAGGCATCTACACTGCTGCTACAAATGTTGTTCAGGCACTGAGTCAGCATGTAGGTAAGAAATCTTACTTTGGCACTCAAATTATTTTGACTTTCTTTTCATGTTTTTGTAAAGCTGAAATCCTAGTTATTCAGGTTTTTAAATTTAATATTGTCATAAACCTTTCTATTTTCTCAATAGCTTTAAAATTACTTTTAGTGATTAAATTCTTTTCCATTAAATTGACTTTCTTTTCCTATATTTTTGACTTTTATTTCTTTTTCTGCCTCAACCTCACATCTGATACAAAAGTAACTCAATACTTTGGCATGAGATGATGTGGAAATAAAATAAAGAAAAAATACAAAAATAAGAAAATAATAAACTAACTCAAAATGGATCATAGATTTAAATGTACAACTTAAATGTAAAACTTTTAGAAGATAATGTGAGAAAATCTTAGAACTTGGTGAAAAGTTTTACATATGGCACTAAAAGCATTATCCTGTAATCCCAGCACTTTGGGAGGCCAAGGTGGGCAGATCATCTGAAATTGGGAGCTTGAGACCAGCCTGGCTAACATGGTGAAACACTGTCTCTACTAAAAATACAAAAATTAGCTGGGTGCGGTGGCGCACTCCTGTAATCCCAACTACTCTGGAAGCTGAGGCAGGAATCGCTTGAATCCAGGAAGTAGAGGTTGCAGCTAGCCAAGATTGCACCACTGCACTGCAGCCTGGGCAACAGAGTAAGACTGTATCAAAAAATAAAAGGTAAAAATAAATGGATAAAGAGACAAGCTACAGACTGGGAAAAATATTTTCAAACCACATATTACAAAGAAGTCGTATCTAGAATATATAAAGAAATCTCAGAGCTCAATATCAAAGAAACAACCAAATAAGAAAATAGACAAAAGACCTGAAGAAGTATTTACACTGTGAGGCTATATGGATGGAAAATAAGGGAGGATATATGACTGGCCAAATAAGCATGTGAAAAGATGTTCAACATCACTAGCGATCTGGGAAATGCATATGCAAGTGAAGGCCATGATCACCACACAAGTATTGAAACAGCCAAAATAAAAAATAGTGACATTACAAAATGCTGACAAGATTACAAAGAAATCCATCTCATACACTGCTAAATATACCGTCGAATACAACTTAATAAAAAAGAACTATTAAGAACATGCAACAATTTGCTATAAAAATATTATTCATCATGACCAAGTGGAATTTATCCCAGGGATGCAAGAATGGTTTAACATATGCAAATTAATGGTTCTTAAGTATTTTTCATCAGGTTTAGTATAATATCATAAACTTTAAGTGACACCATCAGACCTTTATGAAGTGCCACTAGTGATGCTGGAAGTGCTCCCAATAAGCAGGGGAAAGTCATGACATGATAAATTCGAATTGCTTGATATCTGAGTAGCTTGAGGTCTGCAGCTGTGGTCGCCCACCATTTCAGACAGATGACTAATCTTGTAAACAGATGACATAAATTTACATTATTGACAAATATAATACTGTAAATGTATTTTTTTTCCTAATAGGATTTTCTTTTTTCTAGCTTACTTTGTTGTAAGAATACAGTATATTATACATATAACATCCAAAATATGTGTTAATTGATAGTTACTGTTATTGGTAAGGTTTCTGATCAACAATAAGTTATTAGTAGTTAAGTTTTGGGAGAGTGAAAAGTTAAACATGGATTTTCAACTGTACAGGGGTTGGCCTCTCTAACCCTTGTGTTGTCCAAGGATCAATTGTAGTTATTTAAGATGAAACCTTTGGGTGGAAGGTACACAGGACCTCTATCTAATCTTTGTAACTTTCTCCATATCTATTATTATTTCAAAATTAAAACTTAACTTCAGTAAATGTAAAAACTGCTTCCCTTTTTCTGCTTTTTGATAAAACTATGCTATCATTTGGAATAAGATGACTAGGAGATTAAAGCACTTTTTTTGTTTGTTTTAAATACCACTTGATAGCTCCTTTAAAACTTTGTGAGGTATTTTTAGTTCTCATTTGCTTTAAGAATACTACTCTGTTAATATTGTGTTTGGTTTGGTTTTTCTTTTTTTTTGAGACAGAGTGTCACTGTCACCCAGGCTTGGGTGCAGTGGCACAAACATAGCTCACCGCAGCCTTGGACTCCTGAGCTCAAGTGATCCTCTTACCTCAGCCTCACAAGAAGCTGGAATTACAGGTGCTAGCCACCATGCCTGGCCTGTTAAGTTTTTATAGAAAATTTTAAATAGTGATTAACTATGTAGATTTTAAAAGTGTTACACATTTGCATCCTAGAAATGAATTTTGTTCTGTTCAGTGCTATGTAATGGAAAATAAGAGCTCATTACTCTTTAAACATATGTCTCTATGTTCTTTTTGTTTAGACAATTACTTACTTCTACAGCCATTTTGCACAAAGGCTCAGTTTTTAAATGGAAAAGCAAAACAGGATATGACGGAAAAGCTTGCTGGTAAATACTTTATAATTTCTAAAGAAATATTTTATTAGCTAAAGATAAACTGATGGACTATTTCAATTTAATTTTAGGGTAGCTACCAACTTAATATAACTACCCACAAAGTAGAAATAAATTGTGTAATGATCCACAAAAGAACCTTTTAATATTTTTATCCCAACAATTTTCTTCAAAAGAATTTTATCCCTTTTTTTCTAGTAAAAGTTCAGTCTTCCTATTAGTGTAACCAAATGTAAGTTCTGCCGATCGCCACTTGCAAAATTGAATTACAAGGATGAGGTGCAGTGGAAGTAAAGTGACTTTATTTTCCAAAGTTAGCAGTTGGCAGATGGTTCAGGCTCCTGCCTTAACAAAACTGCTTCAAAATTTTCAGGCAAAATGCTAGGGTTTAAGAAGGAGAAGTTTTGCATTGAGGGCATGCAGTGGGCCAGGCAGTACAGTTCTACATGATTTGTTCCTATGACTTACCTTGAGTTATTGCCCCATATGGTGAATGGGCTGGTGTTATCTCAGGCTGGACTGGGTTGTAAATTAGCACCACAGTCTTGAGGTAATCTCCTGGTGGGGGAGAATTCCATAGGCACCTGAATTGTCTCAAGATGCAGATTCAGTCTCTGGAAACTCTTTTGACAGGGAGTCTCACTCTGTTGCACAGGCAAGAGTGCAGGGGTGTGATCTTGGCTCACTACAACCTCTGCCTTCTGGGTTCAAGCGATTCCCCTGCCTCAGCCTCCCAAGTAGCTGGGACTGCAGGTACCTGCCACCACACCCAGCTAATTTTTGTATTTTTAGTAGAGACAGGTTTTCACCATGTTGGCCAGGCTGGTCCTGAACTTCTGACCTCAAGTGATCCCCCTGCCTCAGCCTCCCAAAGTGCTAGGATTACAGGCCTGAGCTACCGTGCCCAGCCCGGTCTCTGGAACTTCTAAGCAAACATAATTAAATAGGCTAGCAATGCAAAGAAGTGTCTAGTAGAAAGGGGGAGAGAATAATTTATTATTTCATTACTAAAATGTTAATACAAAGGGCCACAAAAGGAAAAGAAAGAAAGAAAAAAAAACCTTAAAAATAGCGTACTTGGTTACATTTGTAGAAATGATACAGAAAAAAAGATATTAAAATCAAATTTTGGTTCTTACAGAAAACTGCTATTTCAAAATCATGTTTGATAAAAGGTCCATGGGTTACTAATGTGTACATTTTTGTTTCACTGCATTTGGAAAACATCGAGATGAATTTGGGTTCATTTTCTCTCTTTACTATTTTGCCTGAACTAATTGTTCTATATGGGAGTCTAATATCATACTTGAAGCTCCCAATCTTTGAGAGGAAGGTTTCTTACATTACTTCTTTTAAGAAGCCTACCTTTTTAGGACAAATGGCATAGGAAGAAGCTTAGTATATTTTAGCTGCTTCTTATTTAGCAGAGCTTAGGCTTATTTATTAAAAAAAAAACTCCTCACTGTTTTTTATGTTTCAGATATTGTTATGGAACTTTATCAAAGGAAGCCACATGCCACAGAACAGAAAGTATTGGTTGTTTTATGGCATCTTTTAGGAAACATGACAAATAGTGGCTCTCTGCCTGGAGCTGGAGGAAATATACGAACAGCCACAGCTAAATTATCAAAAGCACTCTTTGCACAGATGGGTCAGAATCTGTTAAATCAGGCTGCATCTCAACCACCACATATCAAAAAGAGTTTAGAGGAATTACTTGATATGACAATTTTAAATGAATTATGAATCTTTGATAAAATATGGTATGATGAACGAAAGTGTTTACATGATGACAAATGGAACTTTCTAAAAGTTACATTATCAGTGCCTGCAGTTCACAGCCAGTAAATTAAGTCAATGGCTATTTTTATTTGCAGCCTATGAGTACACAGCTGTCCTTTATCAACCCTACCACTTGTACCCATCACATAAAAACCTAAAGTATATCATTCATGAATGAGAATTCATGAAATCTCAGGCACGTGGGATGAATTCAGTTTTAATATTTTTGAGAAAAGTCCTGCTCATTTGCACTATTCTATACAAACTACAATTTGTTGCCCTATATATACAATTAGAATTATAATTAAAAATATACTTTTTATTATGTAATCATGTTCTGCTATGTCTCATTACTCAGCCTTATTTTATAACATGGAAGTCACTGAACTATGTTATCACAAACTAAGTTTTGTATATTATTTGTGAAAAACATGTATTTCTGAATCAGTCCGCTAATATGATTGTGCAGTATTGGCTTGCTTTTGCTGCTGTGTTAATATATTTGCTTACCTTTTGGGTTTAATTATCTACACAATTGTGAAATTTAACAAGATATAATAAAGCATGACAACCAAAGTTTTAGAAAACATTAAACATTTTAAATGCACGTTTGAAATACGTATTGAATGTAACCTCCCTATTTTTGTGTGCGAACACTAAATTTTATTTCTTTATGTTTTCACATTTATAAAGGTGTTATTTTGCTGCCCAGTTGTGTAATTCTCAAAAATAGTGCCAGGTCTTCTATAGGTTTTTTCAGAATTCTTGGGCTTACAAGTACTGTATGCATCTTTAAAAAGAAAAGGAGTGTTATAAAATAAAAGGATTTATTTCTGTAGATGTGTGAGAAATGTTTTATTTTTCCAACTTCCGTACATGTTAAAATGGAAAAAAAGTGTGTGTGTGTGTGTGTGTGTGTGTGTGTGTGTTATTAACCTATCACTTTCACTTGATCTACTTGTTATGATATTGACCTACAAATAAACCTGGGTTATCATTCTAACTTTGTAGGAAATTAGCTGTGTGACGTTGGACAAATCACTTGCTGGGTCTGGGCCTCAGTTTCCTCATCTCTAAAATGTAAGAGCACTGGGCGTGGTGGCTCAGGCCAGCAATCCCAGCACTTTGGGAGGCTGAGGTGGGCAGATCACTTGAGGTCAGGAGTTCGAGACCAGCCTGGCCAACATGGTGAAACCCCATCTTTAAAAAAATTAAAATAAAAAATAAAAATAAAAAAATAAAATGTAAGAGCTAGACTAGATGATTTTTAAGGCGCTATCCTATTCTAAAATTCTCTGATTCTATGTTCATTCTTTTTTACTTCTGAGTCACTGACCAGTTTTCAGTTTTCTAATGTATACGGCTG